GTCTCCATATTGAATTCTTTTGTGGAGGGTCCTCCCACTTGTTGATTCCTTATGTTGGAAATGGTCTGCACATATTGATTCATTATGTGGATGAGCCTTCAAATTATCGATTCCTTAAGTTGAGGGGCCTCCACATGTTGATTCCGTCTGTGGAGGGACCTCCACCAATTGAGTTCGTTTGCGGCGGGCGATTTCTTTTTCCTCTTCCTCCTCCTGCTCCTCCCCCTCCTCCTCCCGCTCTGGCGCAGGGGTTGAGGATAAGAAGGAGCAGAAGAAGTAGGAGGAGAAAGATGAGGAGGAGAAAGATGATATTGTTTCCTTTTGTGGATGGGGCCTCCCCCATATTTTTTCCTTATGTGCAAGGGGCCTCGCGCATATTGATTCCTCTTGTGGGGGGGGAATCCTCCACATATTGACTCCTTCTGTGGAAGGGACCTCCACATGTTGATTTCGTCTGTGGAAGGACTTCCACATAATCATTTTTTAGGTCAAAGGGGTCTCCACATGGATTTCTTATGTGGATGGGCCTTCGAATATCGACTCGTTATTTGGAGGGGCCTCCACATATTGAGTTTGTCTGTGGAGGGACCGCCGCATATTGATTCCTCATGTGCAAGGGGTCTCCATATTGGTATCTTGAGTGGATGGGGCCTCCAACATGTTGAATCCTTATGTGGGAGGGGCCTTCATAGATGAGCTCCTTACGTGAAGGAGCCTGTACACATTGATTTCTTATGTGGGAGGCCCTTCACATATCGACCCCTTATGTGGAGGGGCCTCCGCATGGATTCCTTGTGTGGAGTAGGAGGAGAAATATGATGAGGAGGAGGAGGAAGAGTAGGAGGCGGAGGTGGACACGGGGGAAGCGGATTTACATATCGATTCCTTTTGTGGCGGGGCGGGGTACATATAATGGGAGGAGAGGAGGAGGAGGAGGAGGAGGAGGAGAGGAGGAGGAGGAGGAGGAGGAGGAGGAGGAGGAGGAGAGGGAGGGAGAGAGAGAGAGAGAGTGTGTCAAGAGAGGGAGGAGAGAGACAGAGGGATGAGGAGAGAGAGAGAGAGGAAGGGAGAGGAGAGGAGGAGAGAGAGAGAGAGAGAGTCAAGAGAGGGAGGACGATAGATAGAGAGAGGGAGAGAGAGAGAGAGAGAGAGAGAGAGTCAAGAGAGAGAGAGGGGGAGGAGAAGAGAGGCGAGATAACGAGAGAAAGAGAAACGGAATTCGGCAGAGAACGGGCGGGAACGTTGAGTCAAGGAGTCGATTAGGCGGAGGAGACGGGGGAGGGTGTTTTGCTTTCCTTTTGTTCCTCCTCCCCGCCCTCGGAGGCTGAGTTGTTTTCCTTTTTTCCATGTGACAACATTAGTTTTTTCCTGAGTTTTTTATGTTTTCCTGTTTTTCGCTCTCCCTTTCGGCCCCTCGGGGTTTCCCCGCCGCCCCAGGGCCCGAAAAACAGGAAAAAACTTTTTTTTTTTTTTTTAAAAAAAAAAATAAAGAAAAACATTGTTTCTTAAGGGGGGTGGGAATCCCCCGAGGGCGGGGAAAGGGGAACAAATGAAAAAACACCCTCCTCCGTCTCCTCCGATTACTCATCCGCTTCCGCCTTTTTTCTGTTTTTCCATGTTGTCCTCCTTCCCGCCCTCGAAGGTGGAGTTTTTTCCTATTTCGATGTGAAAACACAGGTTTTTGTTCATATTGTTCCTTTTGTTTTTCATCTTTTTCTGTCTCCCGTTCGGCCCCTCAAAGTTTCCCCGCCGCCCCAGGGGGGGGGAGCGAAAAACATGAAACACATGAAACATATTAAAAAACTTGTGTTTTCACATGGAAAAACGGAAAACAACTCCTCCTCCGAGGGCGGGGAAAGGGGGGGGGGGGGAAAAAAACTCCTCCGTCTCCTCCGCTTACTCCTCCGCTTCCTCTTTTTTTTGTGTTATTGTTGTTCCTCCTCCCCGCCCTCGAAAGGGGAGTTTTTCTCCGATTCTTCCTTGTGAGAACACAAGTGTTTTCCTATTTTTTTTATTTTTGTCTTGCTTTTCGGTCTCCAGTTCGGCCCCCGCGGACACCCTCCTCCGTCTCCTCCGCTTACTCCTCCCCCCCTACTCCCCTCCCCCGAGATGAGGAGAAGGAAGAGGAGGGGGAGGAGGAGGAGGAGGAGGAGGAGGAGGAGGAGGAAGAGGACGACGACGACGACGACGACGACGAAATGTATGATCACAGGGGGGGCGACCATATACATATATATATATATACATACATACATGTTATGTATGTATGTATGTATGTATGTATGTATGTATGTTTGTATGTATGTATGTATGTATGTATGTATGTATGTATGTATGTATGTATGTATGCATGCATGCATGTATGTATGTATGTATGTATGTATGTGTGTATGTGTGTATGTGTATACATATATATATAGAGAGAGAGAGAGAGAGAGAGAGAAAAAGATATGAGTAGGCCTGGGGGGGTGGGGGGGGGGGGGGGAGGGGGGGGGGGGGGGGGCAAAATCGGTGCCGTCATCCCCCATGGCCGCCCCCCCGAACCTTTGGGGGGTCACAGACCCCCCGGGACTGTCCCTGGCCGCTTCCAAATTGCCCGCGACAGGCCACGCGGGCCGTACAGATGGTCACGAAAGCCTGAAGAGGCCCCGAAGACGCCCAAGAGCGGCCGAAAAGGGCCCGTGAGGGCCCCGAGAGGGCCTTCAAGAGGCAAAAATCTGCCCATTTCCTTCGTGAAACATGCGTTTCCAGCATGTGCCCCAGACGCCCCCGCGGAGCCCCAACACAGCCCAAGAGAGACCCAAGAGGGCCCATGACGGCCCAAAATAGTCGTCCTGTGGGGCTCACAAAATCCCCCGAGACGGCCCAAGAAGCCCCAAAGCCGGCCCAGGAGGCCCCCAAGACGGCCTCAGGGAGGCCCAAGAGGGCCTCGTTCGAAATCATGTTCCCGGAAGGCTCTCCGGGAACATGATTTCCACCTTCC